CACCTCCCTCCACCTGCTGGCAACACTCTGCCTAATGCACCCCGGGATCCCATTGGCCTTCTTGGCCACAAGGCCACACTGCTGCCTCATGTTTAACTTGTTGTCCACCAGCACTCCCAGGTCCTTCTCTGCAGAGCTACTTTCCAGCAGGTCAACCCCCAGCCTGTCCTGCTGCATGGGATTATTTCTCCCTAGGTGCAGGACCTTGCACTTGCCTTTGTTGAACTTCATGAGGTTCCTCTCCGCCCAGCTCTCCAGCCTCTCCAGGTCCCTCTGAATGGCAGCACATGATGATGTAATAATAAGTCATTGATGTTGTTGGAAGAAACATTTTATTTCACAAAACTATTACTCCCTCTCTAACCTTCAAAGATAAATCTAGAAACTAAAATTCCTAACTCTGAACACTATACCATCATTGACTGAAGTATTGATTTTTGTCACATACACCGCTTCGTTTCTTAGGTAACCACCTAATGCGCCACTGGGAAAAGTTACTCTTTTGTCTGTCCCACTGGGAATAATGTGTTTGTGCCTTTTCTCCTGCACAGTCACCTAATGCCTTTATAGTCCAACTGTGTAATCAGGAAGCACAGTTGCATCAAAGGAAGGGTAGCTGTGTTAGTAAAGAGAAGAGGGAGAAGAAATTGAGTGTTTACCTTAGGAGGCTGGTGCTCCTTATTTCCACAGTCAGAAGGTTAGTGTGTCCAAAAGCTTTGCTCTTCCTCCGTTCCCCAGTTATATCACTTGGTTTACTTAAAAGGCTATTATTTCCTGCCATCCTTTTGACAAAAAGCACAATGGTGTGCTTTTTGGGTCCTCAGTCTGAGGAAGGGATTGCCCCTTATAAGGGAGGCCCTCTTTGGTAAGAGCTGAGTGTTAACCAAAGCAAGTTGAAAAGGAGTGTGAGGACTTGCTGGGGAACGCGTGGAGAGTGTTTGCTCAGACAGGTTTTGTCAGGATGAGTTGGACGTTCTTGCACTGCCTATAGGGTGAAAGCGGAAAGTGGTTGTTGTGAGGGGAGAAATCTGAAGCGTAGTGACTCACCTATTGTTGGAAATTGCAAAATTTACCTCCTTGCTTTTCTCCCTGCAGCCAGTTCCCATGCTCTTTTTCAGAAAGCATAATTCAGCTTTAGCTCAGCGTGTAATTACTTGCAGAGCTCCCTTTGCAGTTCCCCCTTCTTGTCAGCGTTGAATGCTCTATTGCTAATAGCTGGTTACTGCATAGGATTAGATCCGTATCTTACCAGGAACAAGTAGTGAACAAATGGAGCCTGTAGCAGGCCAAGCAAGAGCTGGGATTTTTAAAAGCCAAACTTGCACATTTTTGCATGAGGGCTCCTGGGGAGCTTGGCAAGCACGTGTTGAGATATGCTGCAAAGGCATCTCAGACTAATTGTGAACAACCCCAAGAAGATGCCATTTTCTACGGACTGGGATGTATTACCCTGCAGTGAAAC